GGCAGCCGCCGGCCGGCGGGCCGCTCGTGCACCCGCTTCCTGTGCTTGACGATGTAGTCGTTCCGCACGGCGCCGTAGTCGCAGTACTCGCAGCGGTAGGGGAACACGCCCGTGTGCTTCACCAGGTGCCGCTGGAACTCGCCCTTGGTGTAGGAGACGCAGCTGCAGTGGGAGCAGATGAACTTGATCTCCTCGTGCTGCAGCGTGTGCTTCCGGTACTGCAGCGGGTCCTTGGTGGAGAAGCGGCACTTGTCGCAGTAGTGCTTGCCCGGCTTGAAGTTCCTCACCTTGAACTTGCTGCTGGCCGAGCCCGAGGCGGGCGGGCCGTCCTGGCCCGCGGGGGCGGGGCTGGGGCTCTTGCTGCCGTAGTGCGAGGGGGCGGGCGCCACCCTGAAGTTGCACCTGAAGCACACGTTCCCGTCGTCCCCCCGGCTGGGCCCGGGGCCCCGGTCGGCGTCCTGGAGGGGGACGTCGTAGACGCTGCGGCACCTGGTACACGTGGCGCTGCCCAACAGGGTGGCCTCCGCCTCCGCGCCCCGGAAGAGCAGGGCGGGGGCGCCGGGCCTCTCGGGCCGGGGGGCCCTGCTGCTGCTGGGCTGCTTGGGCGACATGCTCAGGGCCCCCCGCCCGCCAAGCGCCCCAGCCGAGCAGGACTGCTGCCCCGTCTCCTTCATCTTCTTTATCTGCATCTCCGAAGGGGCCAGCCGGGCGACGTCACATGGCAGCTCCCGGTCCTCCCGACACTCCAGCGGCACTACAGGGGAGCAAGCAGCACACAGCAGGGTTAGTGCTGGGACTTCCGGGCGAGCCGAGCACCTTCCACACGCACCTGCCGCTGGCCGGGCCTCGAGAGCTTCGTCAAGCTGACTCCCAGCAGGACACTCGCCGCCAGTGATGCCGGCGGTCGGCGGCAGCCGGCCAGCCCAGCTCTCGGAGACGCGGCTGTGGGCTGGGGCGGGAGGGGGCACGGGGCGGGCTGGGGAGCGGAGATGCCGCAGGGCCTCAGGCACCCTGGCTGGCGGGGTGTTAAGGGCTGGGCCTGGAGCAGTGGCCGAAGGAGGGGCCGGGGAGCGCGGGGAGGGCCGCAGGGGAAGCTGGCCAAGGGGTCACAGGCGGGGGCCGGGGCCCGGAGGGGCCGCGCTGACGTTGCCCAGCAGCTGGGAGGGCAGGTCAGCAGGCCAGGCCCAGGGCGCCGTGCTGTGCCGGAGACGCACAAGGCTCTTCTGGGCCCGCGCGACGGCCGGGCGGCAGAGACCCGCGCTCCCGCCACAGTGCTGCCGGCCGTCAGCGCACGTCTCGCCCCAACACACAGAACCAGGAGCCAGCGAAGTCGCTCTGTTTTGGGCAGCGAGCCTTCTGTGGCCTTAAAACGCACCTGCCGAGCCCGCTTCCCCATCTGGCCGTGGGCGCCGGCCGACCCCCGCATCCTGGGGCGCGCACCCCCCAGGCAGCCCAGGAGGCTCCCTAACTTCTGACAACTTGACGACGGCAGTACGCCGCCTGGCCATGACGTCAAGCTTGGGTGTGACCTGCAGCGCCAGCTGAGGACTGCAGCCCGCAGCGGGGAGGCCGGGCCCTCGCTGCCTGCGGGCAGAGCCGCCCCTCGGGACACGGCCTAAATGCCAGTCTGCCCTGGCGGGGTGGCTCTCGCCTCTGCGCTTCCTCGCTCTGGTCTCAAAGACTCGCATGGAGACGGATGGAAAACCCCGAGTCTGCTAGAAACAGCTAGTGACGCTGAGGGCTGGAACCACCACGGACGACCCTGTGGCGGCCACCCGAGAGGAAGCACCCGACTTAAATGCTGGCAACAGCAAGGCTCACGAGTTACAGGGCAGCAGGCACGAAGCGGCGGTCACGGCCTGGGCGCCTGGAGCCGGCCCCAGGGTCCCGCCCTTGCTGGCCGGCGCCTCCCCTGCACTCGGCTGAGCCGGCCTCGCGGCTGCTGGAGAACCAGGCGCTTGGGTGAGCCGCTCACACTCCAGGAGCCGCTTGAAATGAAATGCCCATTTTGTTGAATGAACTAGGGGAGGAAAGGTGATGTCCACCATGGCCGTGCCCCGGGGGCAGCATGGACTCCGGCCGGCGGGCGCTCCTCGCAGACCCCCACTGGAGCGACAGCGCCGTCCGGGGCAATGCCACGCACGGGCCTTGGGGCAGGCAGGCTCCTGGCAAGCAGGAAGGGGGACGGACGCCCTCACATCCACCCTGCCGAGGGGCACCCTAGAGGCGGCCGGCTGCCTGGCCAGCTGCTGCTGTTTGGACAGGGGGAGCAAGCAGAGCACGCTCATTCTGGAAATCCTGCGGTCACATCCCAGGGGCTCCCCCACATATGCAAGAGGCAGCGTGCAGCCCTGCACCCAGGAGAGCCCAGGGAAGGAGCAGGCAGGTCTGACGCTCAAACTGTCCCTTCCGCTGGGTCCTCTCAGCTCTGGTGAGGAAATCAGCTCTGGCATCATCACATGTACAGTGACGAGAAGCAACACACAACTGTGCGAAGCACCAGGCCAGGGCTCCTGTGTGCTGAACCTTCTGTTCCTTCCGCACGGCTGGCCAAAGCGAAGGCTGGCGATTCCCAGTAACCAAAAGCTAGTCTGCCCGGAGGCGCCCAGGAACGGGAGACGCGTAATACTGGGTCAAGGAAAATCCAGCACTAGACATGCGAATTAGTCCCCCAGCTGGATGATGTCCAGAAGGAACGGCGTTTCCGCTATTTCAGATTACGACCAAGAGCCGGAATTGGAATGAACAAACATATCTAAGTAAGGGAAAACATCAAGTAATACAAACTGCCTTTCATGAAAAATGACCAGGCCTCAGGGCGTCGGCACCTGTGCCGAAGGATACGCGTGTTTCCCCAGGCAAAGAGGGCTCCGCTGGCCGCGGGCGGGCGGGCGGGCTGGCCGGCCCCAGCGGCCCGCCCCAGTGTTCTCTGGGTAAAGGCGCAGTGGGTGGGAAGAGCACCAGGCCTTCGGCCGATCAGCTGGCTGACGCTGGCCCTGCTCACCCGTGTCTCTCCGGTCAGTGCCCATGGCAAAGGAGGCCGTAGGGCGCAGGGCCGGGCCGGCCGCTGTGTGCACAGTGCGGCCAAGAGAGAAGCTGGCACCATTTCGAGAACTCCAAATGCAGAGCCACATCAGAGAAGCAAAAGCTCAAACACATGCCTGACGGGGACGGCGGCGGTCGAGGCGGCAGAGACCCGCGCTGGCCGAGGGCACGGCCTTCCACACCCGTGCCTGCTGCGGGCTTGGGGTCCACGCGGCGCTGCCGAGTGCTTCATGGAGGCCGGTCAGAAGACACTAGAAGCTGCAGGGGCCCTTTTCCCCTAAGACACAACCTCTCAAAAGAAAGGAGTGCTGGGTTCTGGAGGTCTACACCGACAGTTCCGTATGTGGGGCAAGACTGTGGAGCCCCCGGGGTTCCGCTGGGCTTAAAATGCTCAAGGAAAAACAAGCATCAGCGGCATTATTACAGAAATCCTGCTAAACACACACAGTGCCACCAGGTCTCTGAAGCTGACGATAACACAAAGGTGCACACACCCTTCATTTTTGTGTTTTTTTTCCCCTTAAAGAAAATACAAAAGTTTGTAGGAGAAATGGATTAAGAGTTTAGTAGAGGGCCCTCCGTGTGGCGCAGCAGGTGAAAGCACAGCACTGGGAAGCTGAAGCCGCTTCTGCATGAGTTCGATTCCCGCGTGCCCCGGAGGTGACCACAGGGCGCGGCAGACCTCTCCTGACCCGCCCGCTGCTCCCCTCAGCAGTGGACTTCGTCGATCTGCCTGTTCTGCTCCCCGCTCTGTCTCTGGTGAATCCTCTCACCCTCCACATCTCTGGCCTGTACCCCAGCTCTGTATGAATAAATAAATCTTTAAAAAAAGTTTAGTAGAACCAAACACGAGAAACAGCTCCTGCTGACCAACGACTCCTGGCCATGGCTGCATTTGGGGGACCCATGTGCCCTAGGTGCCCAGAATGTCACTCGAAGGGGTTCTAGGGTGGCTGGCCACACTGGCTGAACACTGGAGTGACCTGAGCAGCTTTAAAACCAGTGGTGGCGAGGACCCCCGTACAGGGGAGAGGCCCTTCAATCTCTTCCCACCACACCCCATACCGCAAAGGGCAAGTCTGTTATAGGCGCTGCCTCTGCTGACTGGCACAGGAGAAGGCTGCAGAGGAAAGACTGCAGTCACAGGTTGGGGCAGGAAGCTGCTAAGGCCCTTCGGCCTCAAAACCTTCCAGGGACTGCACGTGTGGAGAGGCCGAGAAACAGCCCGGCGCCTCAGCCCGGCCAGCCGGTCTCCTAAGCCCGGCCAGGGGGTGATGGGGCGAAGCCCTGGCTTGGCCACAGGGCCTGGGCCACACCCCCACGGTGTCTGTAAAGTGAGCTGAGGGCAGTGGGCACCCGGGCCCACCTGGAGTAACCTGGCGCTGCTTCAGCCCTGCCGTGGGCTGTTCTCCACACAGCGGTGTGCTTTAGGGGTGGGGCAGTGGTCTGCTTGGGGGCCGCTTGGGGTGGCTGGCTGTCCAGTCCAGCGGGTGGCGCTGCCTGCGGGCTTATCTGGTCGGCCAGTGTCTGACCCGACTCTGCATTCAAGGCGCCCCCACAGAAGCTGCGACACTGAGCAGTGGCAGTCGGCACGGGCGGCCTCGGCACTGCCTGCACTTCTGCTGGAGCTGACAATGCGCGTAAAGACTGGGCAGGTGGCCTGGCGCTGCTTCCCGCTTTAGCCGGAGTCCCATGCGGTCAGCCCTCGGACCCTGGCCTCTCCCTTGCACCCGCTGAGACAACTGGGTGTGAAGGCACTCGCCACAGAGGCCCGGCTGTGGGCTCCAGCCCTGGGTTGGGGCCGCCCCTCGACTGCAGCACTTTTCCTCTGTAAAAACAAGGGGAGTGCGTCCCGAGCGGCGGCAGTGCCAGTGTCCAGCCACGCAGGGACCTGCGGCATCCGACGGTCCAGTTCCTGAGCTGGGCAGGCTCGTGGTTTGCCTTCTCCCTGGCCCGCCACGGGGTGGACCTTTCCAGCCACGCTCCCGGTGGGGCCAGGAAGCTGCAGTCGGCCGATCTGTCTGCGCGAACAAGGGAAGTGCGGCGTGTGCCAGGCGGGTGCGGAGGACGAGGCTGGGCACCCCCGAGCGGCCTGCTCAGTCCACAGCACGGAGGGGCCACAGAGGCGCACGGCTCACAGGGCCAGCGAGTGGACGATAAAGGAGGCCGCTTTCGGATGACAATCCTAGAAATGTTCTGTGTTCTTCCTCTTGCCTGAAAACTGGTTCAGATCCTGACTTGAAGGCAAACAGATGTGTTTTTAAAATTGCCACGGTTGGATTTTAAAGGTCTATGTTGGTTTCGAGTATCATTATCAGAGGTAGACCCAACCAAGGCAAAAAAAGTAATCCTCCTTTGTCTGCCTTTTTAGCAATGCACTTACAATGAATGTTATCAGTGTAAGAACTGGCTACTAAGGGTTTTTTTTTTCCCTTCAAGGCTCTATTACAGTTAAGATTAAAAAATTGTACAAATGCATCCTGGGTTCGAGATAACATCAATGTCATATAATTTCACAAGCTGAGCATTCTGGCTACAGAGACAATACCACTGGCTTCCCAAGCACCGGCGCTGGGCATCCCGGACACTGGCCAGGAAGTGTGTCTTGCAGCGTACACGCCAGGGGTGGGGCTGAACTTTGCATGTGTAACTTGGAGATAGGGATTCTCCCAGCCCCTCCTCTACAGGAAAATGCTTCTGCCTC